GAGTACTTCGACCAGCGAATAAATTAATTATTTTTATGCTCTTGTTTTGCAAAATTCACCTTCAAAAGGCAATTTATTTAAATCTATTTTTTTCATTTCCTCTCATTTTCATCTCTTCAAAAAGTTTGATGCGCTGAATAGGGTTGAAAAGGTGAAAATATGGAATGAGAGAAATCATGGAAAATATTTCTCAAAGAATCGCCATGAATTCCATGCAGAGTCCGCGGGGAAAAACGTTGGGATAAGTTGGTTGTAGTAACTAAAAACGCGAGAGTGGTTTACACGAATGATACACATTTTTTGATATGCGACGACCATTCAGCGTCTTTGTAAGTTGATGTAATGAAAAATATACTATTCGGTCTCCTATGAGCCTTTTTCGATAGTTTCTGATAGTCACAAGAAAGGACCAAGGGCTGGCGGAAAAGAAAAAGAAAAAAAGAAACAATAAAAAAAACAATACAATAGAAAAAGAATAAGTAAAATATAAGTAAAAATTGCAGAATGCAGAGGAACAGGGATCTCTTCACACCCTCGCAAGACGCTTTCCTCAACAAAAAACGCTCTCTTCAATGTACCTCCAACTCCGAGCCCTCAGATAAAGCCTTGTCTCCAACGACGTGCTCTTTATCAATTTAAATAAATACCGCTTTTTCGGCGCTCTAATATCATTTTCCACGCATCTAGTCCATATTAACGACGACGGAAAATAAAGAAGTCACGAAAGCAAGGAGCAGAACGATGCGGCATTCTAGGAAGGCGGGTGGAGGGGGCCTCATGAGTCAACAGATTAGTGTATTCATGTTCAACGCTGTTATCTCCCACTCACACCTACCTCCCCCTCCCCCCGCAATTCCATACCATTCCCCGCGTCCTCACCTAGTTACGATACCTCGAACTTCAAGTCCCTACCTTCGAGAGATGAACGATTCGAGAGTTAGGGATTGAAGAAGTGAAGAGGCTACCTCTCCAGAAGATGATAACTATACTTAAGTGCATTTTCGCTACCCAACCCCTTGGACACCAGTCCTTTTTGACTATTTTTTAGTGGGGGTGCGTAAATGTTACTCGTATAAGATTCAATGGACGTATTTATGCTAAAAGGAACATGTGCAAGTGGAAAGATGGGGTGTGCTCGTGGAAGCCTGATAAGAAGCAATGTGGTCAGTGGATATAGTTCCTTTTGAGATAATGGAAAAGCGGGATTTGACATTAAATCAATAGGAACTGAGCGCTAACTCGTGAGCCGTCGGCATGTATCTAGAGCCTTGTGGACAGGGCTCATGAGTTAAAGACCGACCCGATCGTCGTTTCTCTCGCCGTTACCGCTGACGTCACTGGCACTTTATATTTCCCATTCATTCTTATGGCCCAACCACTAACGAGCACACCCCATCTTTCCACTTTCACATACTTCCATTTGGCATAAATACGTCCAAATGACATCGTTTATCAGGGGATCGAGTCATGACTCATTTATGCATCATATGACTCGTCGAGATCGCGAGTTTTTGGTGTCCTGTCTTTTTCAAAATAAACGGTTCAGCTGTTAACTAAACTGCATAAAGTCGGTGCCCTTCGCCCAAGCGACGCCCCCAAATGTAAGGGAAAGGGGCGGTTTAGAAACTTTTCAGGTGTTCCTAAAACCGGCGTGCTAACAGTGATAGGGCTTGACAATCAGCACTATTGTCCTGAGCAGCTCGTCAGTCGTCGCTCTTCAATAATGGCGTATCTAGATTTCCTTATGAGCCCCGGAATGCATGGATTTATGTGTAAAACAAGGCTCACGCGGAAATTGAGATACGCCCTTACGTCAGAGGGGCGACGTAATGGGAGCGTGAGAATGGCTGAATGAAGTGGATGACGAGATGTATCACGTCATTACCTGATTGCCATGTTTGAGGAAAAAACACTTAGATCGGCAACGCACGCATGCACATTGCACATAGTGAAAAATTGAGACTAAAAAATCTTCATTTCGGTAAGAATCAAAGATAACCGGGGTTACTGAGGAGTCGAGGTCATGCCGCTGCAACGGTATCACACCGACCAAAACCAAAATGTGGTTGATTTGTTATGGGATCTGAAAGAATTGAAATCAAAATACGGCTCGGGCAACTAAAAATTTAGAATACTTTGAGTGGCAAAGTCCGGGAATTACATGTTAAAATCCACATTTCCTTCAACGAATTCTTTTCCTATCACAAAAAGCCCTTTATTTTTTAAAAAATTCTAGGATATACTGATTTTTTTTTTCAAAGATATTTCCCTTTCGCTTCTAGCTCATTATCTTCTTGGTTTCTTGATTTCAGGAAAAGTGAGATCCATGTTGATCGAATAGGTACACCAGGCTTTGGCGCTTTTAAAGAGAAATAGGTTCAGAAATCGGAAACAAAAAATGCTTAGATCATGCCAGATTTTTTCTGAAATTTTTTTCACAGGTTACTTATTTTCCTCTACGCGAGAGAAATTGCCCATTTTAAACGACTTATTCATTGACTTGAACATGTTTGAGCATAAGAGGTAATTAATGTTTATTTTTTTATTATTTTTTTTTTCTTACAAAAAATCCTTGACGGGAAAAGGAATGTTTACCTCCGTTTTCCGCCAATTCAGATCGAAAGTTGAGGAGGAATTTGATTTAATTTCTTTTTTTGAAAAAAAAGAAAAGAGGATCAAGCAAGACCCATCCTGTGAGAATGCAGGGATTTTTTTTCATTGTTTTAAAAGCCAATGGGATTATTTAAAGTAAGGAGGAACAACATCGAGGATTATGGCGTTGCGCCCTTAAGGTTGTTCTTTAAAACTGCGAGTATGTATTGTTCATCTTAAAAAATGTTTACTTGGAATATTTGCACTTTTACTTAAAAACCCTCAAGATCCGAGACTGTCAGACGGGTTTTGACAACTTGACAACTATAAACTTGACAGCAGTGTGCAAGAACTTAAAAAGCCATTTTAAAGCAAAGTTGCTCGTTAATTTCTTGGAAGTTTTACTGAATCAGTGACAAACAATATCATCCGAGACCGCACCTGCCCAATCACGAGAGACTACCAGCAGTGGCGAGGCGCGAATGATCGATTATCGATATCTTCCCATTTAAACTATGGAAAATAATCGATTTTTAAGACGTTCGTTTCAAACACCCTGTTTATCGATCCTTTAACATAGGTTTAAATGACAGATCAAATCGATATATTGCAAAGCTCGCCACGCCACTGACTACCAGCGTGCTTGAGGAACACTCGGTTGAGATTACGCAAAAATCCAAAATAATTGTTACTTGGACAGATTTAAGCAGAATTATCCTAACTATATCACACGTTGCCTCATTTCCCCTTATATTTTACTTTTTCACCAGAAAACTAAGAGAAACTTTAACATGAAATTTCGTGGAAATATTAATACTTAATATGTAATTTCTGAAAATTTCAGAGAAAGTTTCAAGGCGTCATGTTGCCTAGTCCTCCGATAAAAAATTGAAAAATGAGAGAAAGTTGGACGAAATGAAATGGAGTCCACTTTGCAATTGGGAACTACAGTTTCTGGTTTAGTTTAGAAGAAACGTATGATCCATTAGTTTCCTAAGGTTCATAAGTGATTAAACGAATGGGCCAGAAATTGTAGTTTCTAAATTGCAAACTGAAGATCAAAATGCAGTTGGACGTGGAGCGCAAATCAATTCATCGTTTACCGGACGAAGGAACATAACTCCATTCCAACGTTGCAGAATTGACCCAAATAATTCAATTTTTCACAAGATTGCACTTGTGGAATTCTTGTCCAAAACTTTTATGATTTTTGCGTGAGATTAGAAGAAAAATCCGTGAGTTTTTCAGTTGAAATTGCCCAACATTCTCCGGGTAAAAATGTAATTTGCAAAAGGAAATTCGGCAATGTTGATATGTAATTACATTCTACCATGCGAATTTGTACACACGCTGAAAAAGAAGCAGATGCTTCATTTCACAATAACCTTACCTAAATGAAAAGACACCGATTTTTGCTCCTAAATTAAAAATTAGGTATGCAAGCCTTAAGTTAGGCTTTATTTCCACTTCTTCTTTCTTTACCTTCTCTTTTTTCTGTTTTTTCTTCTTTCCACTGCCGTTTTGCGCCGCTGGGCGCTCTGTCACATATATAAGTGCCCCACTTTTGCCTTACATTCTCGATCTCGTTTAGCGTATGATTACATTTCGTGGTGCAATTAGAAATAAGTGAAAAAGCTCTCCTCATGGTAGGTTCTGTTACTGACAATCTATTTGCAATACATAGTATACTTAAACGTACCATAATGTCTTCAATATTCATAGTTTTAGAAGGGGAAAACTGAGAACTCAGATGACCGTCATTTTAAAAACGTCAAAAATAAGAATTAGGGATTCAACCCTTATCCATTTTGTGCATGGGCCAACATCCGAGTCAAATTTGGAAATCAAACTAGATCTCGAGTCCTTGATCCCGGCAGAGGATTTAATGTTACGCATGTGCGGACAAACTAGAGGCTACAACTCCTAACCGCTTCGCGGTCCAACCCCCTGAAGCGCATCGCGACTCGATCTTCATGCGTTACGCGTCACTCTCATCTCTTATGTTTTTACTCGTATGGACTCATAGAGTATATCTCACCCATTCGTGACGATTTTCTACGAGCTTGGAGTTTATAAGCGAAAAGGTTTGGTCAATTTTACCGAAAGAAAAAAATAACAAAAAAGCATAAAGCGGCAATTCGTGTTTTTGTGTCTTCTTATCATCGCAAAATTTTAATTACTTGTTCTCACTTTGTAAATCTAAGCCGATAAGTAATGTTTCGTCGCCCTCTTGACATGATGACGTAACCACCTTTTGCAATGAGCCCTGTCTTCCATTTAACTTACTGCCTTCCCTGGCTCATCTCTAAGTGTAGTTATGCTCCTTTATCAATCGAGCGACAAATTATTTACCGCTAAATTATTCTTGTGACGTCGCTGACGAGATTATTTTGTTTTTGTTGTTGCAGGGCCCTGCACATGAAGGAGCATCCAGACTACAAGTACCGGCCGCGACGAAAGCCGAAAACCCTGAGCCCGAAGAAGGACACGAAATACGACTACAACCTAGATCTGAGCCGGAGTCTCCTCTCGGCGCCTCCCCCGGCCTTGGGCCCCGATTCAGACTTCAAATTCCCGCGCGCCCTTTTCCCCTCGTTCCACTACCCTTCCTTCTACAAGCTGAGCGAGGACGCCCTTCCGGACCTGACCCTGAACAAGAAGTTCGCAGCCGACTGCCTGGCCCTTCAGGCGATCTACGGCTCGACGCTCTACTCGCAGGCGGCGGCGGCGGTGGCCGCCTGGCCGAACCCGTGCGTCCCGTGCGGGTGCCCCTCCAAGTCCCCTTCACCGCCCCCCGGCGAGGAGATCAAGCGGCCCATCCCGCTCCTGGTCAAACCGGAGGAGCGCTTCTCGCCGACGCACGTCATATGAAAACCGCTCCCGGTTCTGCCCGAGAGGGGGAACCGCTGGCCTGGACCCGCCCCCACGACGCCCTACTGGTGGCCGCTCAAGCCGCCCTCCCCGGAACCCGCGCCTACCCCCGAGGAGGCGCCCTCGCCGAGGCTGTCGCCCGAATGAGACTCGGGAAATCCTCGCGCTCTCTTGGATCTCCAGTTCACCGCAGCTCCGTTCAGAAGGATTTAGAGTCAGGGATAAAAATGCGGATATACTCTTGGACCGCGAGACAGTTTTCACAGGAACGGTGTTATTTTGAAAAATTCGTGCTGATTCTATATCACCACCTGTGCACTGGAAAAAAAATTACATTGTATCTAGAATCCAGACTCTTAAAAACATCGACAAGAAAAAATACTCTTGATTCGATCAGATTTAAGCTTAAGTCAAGAACCAAGCCTCTTAATTTGAGCGAAATTCCTTTTGATTTAATCTTAAATTTGCTTGAATCAAAAGTCCTTTTTCTTGTCAATGTTTTCAAGAGTCTGGACTCTAGATCCAATGTGTTTTTTTTTTCAGTGAGAGCGGTGATCCAGACCGGAAAATGTTCGATTGAAATAACCAGGGAAGCCGATTTTTGGGCCAACCTATTAGGTGAATCGCCTCCATTCTAGGATTTTTTGTTCATTGAAGGTCTATGTTTTACGATGAGCATCATAATCTGGTCTTTTCCGATTTTTCCGGCTCTTACACTGGAAAAAAAACACATTGGATCTGGAGTCCAGACTCTTGAAAACATTGACAAGAAAGAAGACTCTTGATTTGATCAGATTTAAGCTTAAATCAAAAGGAAATCCGCTCAAATTAAGAGGCTTGGTTCTTGATTTAAGCTTAAATCCGATTGTGTGTCAAGTACGGATTTCTCAGCATTTGATCACAAACTCACATATTTTACCCAAATCAGCCTTCAGACCCATGTTTTGGCCAGCACTAAAGCCAAAAAATAAGGAATGACCATCGTAATGCATTCCGTAAAATATAGACCCCCAATGAGCAAAGAGAGAATTCTGGGTGTGCCCAATATCAGCCCTTAGCGATACCCCTCCTTTCAAGAGACAGCAAAGTAAATTACAGGGAGAATATTCCCGAAATGTTGCAATTTCGGTCAGTTTTTAGACAACTTTACTTTCTCGCGTATAATATTTCCATCTCGAAGGGGGGGGGGGGGTGAAAATGGCTCAAGTTGATTCGAAATGCACGTTTTCATTGGTTGATATATTGACGTTGGTACACATACCAAAGAAATCAATCTCGATTCTTGTAAATTTTTTTGTAGATGTACACTCACGGATCCCTACACTATCAATCATCTTTTTCTACACAACAGTAGAATCCTAATATTAAGTTGTTCCCTGAGGATGTGACTTCACCCAATTGTGATTTTAATCTTTGAAGAGTTTGAGAGCGTTTCATATCTCAATTATGTAATCTGTAACGCAGGTTCTTCCTTTACTTTGTGATCTAATTTTGAGCTTTCGACGAATGGTGGTTGAAACGGCCATTCCTCATATCTTGTGCAATCTCAAAAAATCTCACGAATTTAAAAAGTGAGATACTACCTGAGTCACGCTGTTATTTCTATCTTTTTATTCACGCTGTGTATTAATTAAATATTTATTATTATGTGTTTGCAAACAATGGTGCAGCTTATGATTCAAAATTGATTCATTGCTCGTGAAGTGAAGTTTCTACAGTATCTAAATTGTATAAAGTATTTACTAAAAATCCAAAAATCCTTTGTTCCGAATTCGTCCTTCGCAATATGTATATTCTCTCATAAATTGTAGTCATTCATGGTATGACGTCGGATATTGAGCGAGAAATAATAATTTTGTGTAGTTTCCTTTGTATCTCATTACTGTACATAATTCGTGTATCTTTGTGTTATTATGTTAAGTTTCTTTTTCTATTATTAATAAATATGTAAATATCTCTGACTTACATCCATTGTATTTCTTTAATGGTACTGATGAAAAGTAGACCTGAGTATAGACATCTGTGGATGTCACGCTACGTGGACATGTAGATTTTGTAGTTTGGATCTAGCGTACTACTGACGCAGGAGGATAAAATGTGCATTAAGGAGGAAACTCAAAGTATTCAATCCAGCAAAAAAGTCCAGTGTAGGGGGAAAAAATATCGACTTCAGTTTTCGACGCTGAAAATTTTTTCACACACCCTCAAGAACATTGGATCAAAATTTCCAACCTAAATTTTCGTTTTAAATGATGTTTCAAACGTTCGCAGTGAATTATTCTTCAGACTGGCAAAAGCGCTAGCGAAAATTAAAAGCGGGTTCCTACAGATCCTTGTTTTTCGTCCTAAAACTTTTTATTACTATCAAAGGATCATTTTTTTAGAAATTTTTTAGTTTCTCTGCGCAAATGATGCATCATTAACGCCTCTAAGGTGAGAAGTTATCTCCGCCCCCCCCCCTTTCATTTTAAGGCACACATTGACTTCCTTTTCTCCAAATGAATCTCCATACAATGGTGCTGTTGTGTGCAAGGAGTAGTAGCCGTTCAAGTGTTAAGTAAGAGGGGAGGAGGGTTCAAACACAGTCATACGGAGGGCTCCCTCTTTAAAAAGAAAATATAAAGAAACTATACTATATTTACGAACTACCGTACTTACTATATTAACTGCTTACTATATCGACGGCGTAAGTCGGCAATCACATAACTCGGTTTGCGACGCCGCCGACTTCTTGTCATACTTCATTTTTTAAACGGAAACCTACTCAACGGCAATTCTTTAACATTGCCGTGATTCTTCTTCTCTGTGCGAAGAAAATTTTGCATAAGCTTCATAGAATGATGTCTATTTGTTCTCTTTAGAGAAATACTATGGAGGTGGAGATTTTTAGACATCGCAAACGAGATATGTAATTGCGGACTTACGCCGTCGATATAAGAACTTCAAACTTCAAACAACAGCGAAGGAAGTTCAATCTCAAAAACCGAACTGTAGGAAAAACTCAACTCAACAAACACAAAGCACGGTTAGATGAGAGCCTTACATGAACGAAACAGTGCGATTACCTGGACCGAACATTGCGGCTATACGAGTCGAAAAAAAGAACTGTTGATATGAAACAACGCTCATAGATTTTCTTCGATCGAACTTTTTCCTCCAGTGTCCGTAAACTGGACTGCCACTTTGAACCTCTTTTAGTGAACACTGTATACACTGAATCCGTGTTCTTAACATATTTGTTACCAATTCAATGAAAACGTGACTTAAAAAATTGGCTTCAATTTACAACATTTAGGAGGGAAAAACTTGGAAAAAAAGAAAATCATCATTCTTCACATTACGGAAGGAGCTTTTTTGCTCCCTCTTAAGTCCTTTTAGGCCTTGGGCATCATCAATATTCAACAGCAGAGCCGATCCAACTAAATCTTTAAGTACAAGATTCGCGAGCGGGCGGCCAGCGCGAAACGCGCATTGGCGCCTACAAACCTACAAAGGAGAATAATAATATAATGTGTGTTTTTTAAATATTGGTGTTTTCGTGTCAAATTTAATGATTTTCAAAGCACTTTAATTTTTTCTTTTACATTTTGTGCTTTTATTGTGCTGCAGCGAGGTGTACGCGCTACCAAACGCTCAAAATTTGACGTATTTGACTCTAAAAGATCGATGTACAAATGGGTTAAAACTAAAGATTGCATGCTTCATGGTTTTTTTTCCTCTTTTATTCATTTTTGCAGTTTCTGTCGGCACAGATGCTTATTGAGATTAATGTCGCTTGGAAAAGGTTTAACAAATATTTGTCACGTTTTAAAAATATAAATGTTTTAAAAATGAAGTAATAATTTCGTAAAGAAAAAATTAAAAAAATAAAAAAAGTACCAATACACATATAAGGTATATTGTACATCGAGATAGAAATAAAACCAAATATTCACCAATGACAATTTAAAAAGATGATTCAAAAGGAGAAAGTAATAACATTTCATTTAGAAAATGAGCAACCATAACAATACCTCCTTCTCTCTCAATTTCTCATATCCATATTGTCAATATAATTTTGCATACCGACTAAAATATAACGCTTGAACCAAGTCACCGTTGCTTATTTTACGTGTTGGCGTAAACTACTGGACAAAAAAGGTTCGCAGAAAAAAAAACGGTGACAAAATGTCCTGAAACCTTGCCTTCACGTTCCAGTGTAGGCAACATGGGTTCCCAAGTGACTGAATTGTGGTATCACTCTCGGATGTCGCGACTGCTCGAAGAACAAAGCATAATTACAAGCGTAGCGTAAGGCGGAGCCTCAACCTCATATATTTTTTTTATTTTATTTTTTTTTTCGAGATATTTTGCCACTCATCACTTTGAAGTTGCTGCGTTGTAAAAGTTAGGTTAGGTTGTCTTATTACTAAGAAAGGATCAATCATAGATAAAGGAATATACGTATTAAATTTAAACAAATAATGCAAATAAGATCAAGTAAAAGTAGTTTTTTTTTTTTTTTTTTTTTTTTTTTTTTTTTTTTTTTTTTTTTTTTTTTTTTTTTTTTTTTTTTTTTNTGCAAGTAGTAATTTTTACTCAGCATGAGTTTCACAGTTGCTTTTGCAAATTACTATACTTCTCTATTGCTACAAATGTCTATCAACATTATCATCCAGCCCGAGGCCAATAGGCTCCGAGAATCGGGTGGCCATGGACGTGCGGGGAGGGTGTCCATGGGAAGTCTGCCCCCCTTAGAACTGAAAATAGTATCATCTGCAACCCCCCCCCTCCTCCAGAAATTCTGGATGGTGGGAAAAACCCTCGTCGAGGAGGATTGTCTCTTCTTATGTCTTAAATGAGAACACCGTGTTCATTCAGTTAGTATTTTCTAAAATTTTCATCAAGGAAGCCTCAAAATGCATCCAAATAGAGTTAAAATTTCCAGTTGTTTCGAATGCAACAATTTGAAAGTATTTTGTGCTGAAATTTAAAAAAAAAGCGTAATTATTCTGCGGAGATTGATAGAAAATCTCCGTCACGGAAGCCTCAAAATGCGTTCGAATAGATTTAAAATTTAAAAAATTGCCGGATCTATTCACTGCGACGATTCGGAATCCCCTCTGAGCTGGGGAGGGGGCTTATTTCACCCCCAGACCCTCCTTTGTGGTAAGGGGGCCAGCCCCCCCCCCTCCACAAGCAAAATGACCTAGGCACGCCAATGTAGCTATCTCGCCACCTGGACCGCCTGCAAAGCCCCGTAGGCCATGCCAGTGCACTCGTATTCTGCCTGCGGGTCGATTGAATCGTTATCGAATGACTTTGATCGACAACTCCCTATCTTTACAATGCTCTATATCGACCAAGGTCATTCGATAATGATTCCACAATCGAACGAGTGTATGATCGATAACCTCCTATCTTTACA